ATGCTGCTTGGCCTGCTGTGTTCATCCAGCCCTGCACCTTGTTGTCTTGGCTCTATTTGATTGCTTTTGTAAAAAAGAAGCTTGCTACCTCTTCTTTAATCATGGATTCAAACATTTTCACAGTGACAGATGTCAGACCCACTGGCCAATAGTTTCCTACTTTCTATCTCCTTTTGTTTTCAAATATATTGGGGCCTTTCCAAAACCTAGGGAATTCTGGGAGGTTTACAACCAAGGTGTCCATATCCCTGCAGCCACTTAATTTAAGACCTTTGGAAGTATGCCTTCTGTGGAGCGTTGCCACTCACGAGTTTGCTCTGTACACATTTCTTCCTTGGGTTATTTGGCTATACAAACTGTTGACGTCACCAAACATTAATAAACTTAAATGCAATATCCCAAATGCCTAGGAAGAATCATGGACATTGAATTTGTTGTCCATTCTGGTTTGATTGGACTGAAGAGTGCCTTTTGTCCCAAGGGAACAATCCCACAATGGAACGAGTTGCCAAAGAAAACAATCACAGCCTCATCATTTGAAACCTTCAAGACCTATCTTCAGATTATTCCCAATGTAAAGGTTTCCCGAAGCAGGACTACCATTTCAGCAGGCCCTGGCTTTAGCTGGAGTCACACACATGAATATGGGCGGAATGCGAATAATCGTCCGTGATGCGGTCCCGCCGACAGCAGAAGCAGCAAGGCGCACAGCATGGTTTCCGACCGTCCCAAAAGAGTTAATGCAAGAAGAAAAATAGCATAGTCCTGACGGTGCACTCATCTGAGATGTGGAACCCTGAGCCAGCACCGCAATTCCCACCGTCGCTGGAGATGGAGATCACTGACGGCCTTGCAATCAGCATCCTCTGTCGTGAAGCAGCAGCAAATTCGACCGAGTGGCCGGAATTAGGCGGGCGGCTGAAGGACAGCGTTTGCTTCCCGACCCGAAAACCTGCCCAAAGCCGGGAACCGAGGGAAGGGAAGCAAGCGCTCGGCTCGCACCACCGCCGCCTCCGCTGCTGCAGCGTGCACCCCGGGCGGTGGCGGGGGGGGAGATCCGCGTGATTGACAGCGGAGTGCGGCCAATCGGGCCCCGGAACGCTTGTGTTTGCGGGGGGTGGGGGGGAGAGCTGGTCCAATGGGGGGGAGGGGAGCTGTGAGAAAAGGGCGGGGATAGGATCCTGAGCCCCGCCCCTTTCCTCCCTCCCCAGGTTAGACTGAGCCGCAGGTGGGGGCTGAAGGGGGGGGGGGGGGGTGAGAACAGGCGAGGCAGAGGAGCGGCAGCGGCTGCTGTCTGCGTCTCTCTCTCTGTAACCTTCTCCCATGGAGCAGCTCCGGTCCATGTTCATCAGGTCTCCCTGCTCCCCCTCCTCTGCCGCTGGGAAGGAAGAGGCTGAAGAAAGGGACAGGGCGGTGCAGCGGCAGCAGCCGCTGGAAGAGGAGGAGGAGGAGGAGGAAGAAGAAGAAGAGGAGGAGGAGGAAGAGGATGATGGTGATGATGATGAGTTAGAAGAAGAAGAGCAGCCTCCTCGTCCTCCTCCCCCCCAGCGACAGCATCCACCCCCCTCTAACCCGTTCTGGACCGCCGTCTTCGACTATGAGGCGAGCGCCGAGGACGAGCTCAGCCTGCGCAAGGGGGACGTGGTGGAGGTGCTCTCCAAGGTAAGGCTGCCCTTTTTCTGCCTCATCTTCCCTCTCCTTCCCCTACCCCACCCCCGTCACCCCCTTTACCCGGCCAAAGCATGTTATCAATATGCACCTTCTTCTAGGAATCTCACTCGTTCCTTCCCCCCCCCCCGAACCCCCAAGTTCCAGCTACTCATCGTCGGTTTGCAAATAATATATATATATAAACAAAGCGTTCTGTACGCGAAGAGAAGCAGCAAATGCAGGCAGTATTGTAGGAAGTGGGGAAAGGTGATGAAACGCACCAGTGATCGGGGCGCTGGTGTCATTTAAAGCGAGCGTTTGAGCAGTTTTCATTCAAAAGTGTACGGCGATAAGCGTGTCCATCCTCCCCACGACCCCATATAGAATCAACCTTCGCCCGAAAAGCAAATTCGTCTTAATTTAACTTGTGAATTGTAGCCAAACTTTTATTTTTTTTGATGGGGGAATGTGATGGTAGCAGAAAGGAGGACAGTCGAATGACAGGACACCTATGGCAGTGCATGGTTGCGTTGCAATGATTTAAAGGGACATTTCCCTCCTTCCATTTCATGCCAACCCAGGCTGATAGTTACTCTTGTTAATGATCCCCTCCCATGATGGTTCTCCGTTCCTTTAAAGTCTGCACTTACCTGCTATCTCCAAAATCCCATTCTGATCCTGTTGTTCTTGTAAACATCTGTACCATCTCCAACTTCCCAATGAATACATTGCAACCTGAGAAATTTGTGTTCATCTATCCTGAAACTCCATGTTTTTACCTCTCCACATGGATATATAATTGTGTCTTCATTTTTCTCAAGGTGTCTGTGACTATGGATATAAAGAAGCATAACATTCTATTCTAAACCCCCTTTTGTTATCAGTTGGGTGGAACTGTTCTTAGCTGGATTGACAATGTTCCTATCTGTCCAGTCATAGCCAGAGTTTCTGTTACAATGGTTTCTCTTCCCAATGCTTCATTGTTACCTGTAGGGTCCCAAAAATACATGCTTGGCCCTCTCCTACGTCTCATCCCCATACTGTACCTTGGCACATTGTCTGAAAACATGTCAGATTTCACTTATATGGCAATGGCATCCACTCTACATAATTGCCAACTCTCTCACCCTTTTTGCTCCTTATGCCTTGTCATGCTGCTTCTGTAATAACCAGTATCAGATGGCTTTTAATATATTCACTTAATTGGGAAATCTATAGTTATTGTCTCCCATGCCTGGTTACAAATTGCATTACCTGGTCAACTCCCCCTCCCTGACCTCTGTCTAAAGCTGGACTAGACTATTTCCAGCTTTGATCTCCTCTTTGGTCTTAACCTTGCCTTCTGACCTGATAACCACCTCTACAATACCATTTGTGTCCATTTCAGTGATGTCATCCATCTCTAGCCTTAGTTCAGCCCATCTGCTGCTGAAACCATCATTTATATCATTGTAACCTCTGCTGTTCTTGTGTGCTCTCCTTGCTCTCCTATTATCTATCCCATATGAACTTGAACTTATTCAAAATGCTGCTGCCTGTATCCTCACCCACAGGCAAGTTAAATTTACAGGTTACTCCCGTACTCGCTGACCTCCATTGGCTCCTGATCCTCAGTTTGAAATTCTCATCATATGTTCCCTCTGTGGCTTCACTCTTTGCGATCTATGAACCTCTTTCAGTCCTTCTTTGATGTAACATTGAAGGGGATGACAACATGTGTATGAAGGTGTTTGACAGAATTAGACTTGGGTGAAATTGCTAAACATTTAACAGGTCAAGTTTAATGTGAATTGCCCAATTATGAAGTAATGCCCTTTGGAAAGAAGAATGAAGAAGCAATATGGTTTAAATAGTAGAATTTTAGGGTTTTGGAGTAGATCTGTAGCTCAGGTTGTGGGTGTTCAGGTTGGTTGGCTCGCCGAGCTAGTTTGTTGTTTCGCAGACGTTTCGCTACCGTGCTGGGTAGAACTTTAAAAGTACATGTTAGAACTCTGTTTTATTTCACTCTATAGTATTATATAACAACAATGATTGTTCAAGAAGGCAGCTCAACCCCATCTTCTTAAGAGCAACTAGGGATGGGTTATAAATGCTGGCCCAGCCAGCGATATCCACATTCCCATGAGTGAGTTAAAAATCTGTGTACGTAAGTCATGTCCAGTGGTGCAATGTGCTGTTAGATTAACACTCAAAATTGATCTTAAGATTATTAAAAAGGAATTTACTACAACCATGCACTTGACAGCATCACTAATGGTTTTTCCAACCTATTGTCGATATGGGTCCAATGTAAGTTCATTTATTGATGACAAATCTGCTTCATTAGTTTAGATATTTTTCAATGTCAGTTACCTTAATATCTTCCCATTTGTCATTATTAGTAGTTTTTATTCAACGTCATCACCTTAAGTGCATGTGTTTTGTCCAGAATCTTGCTTTTCTCTTTGAGAATTACTCCTTTTTCTATTCTCATGCAAAACTTACTTCATATGGGGCCTTTCCCATTTACTACAACATGATGAATAACAATGTTGAGGTTCTAGTCAAGAATGAAAGAGAATCTTATTTTAGATATCGACATTTGAATCTCTTAATCAATATAAAGAGTTTAGGGGTCTTCTTAAGAGAGAAATCAGGAAGTCAAAGAGGGAATATGAGATAGCATTGGCAGATAGGGTTAAGGATAATCTAAAGAGATTCTACAAATATATTAAGAGTAAGAGGGTAACTAGAGAGGGGGTAGAGCCCCTTAAAGATCAAGGAAGTGTGTTGAACCCAAGGAGATGGGAGAGATACTAAATGAATATTTTGTCAGTTTTTACTGCAGAGAAAGAAATGGAGTCTTGAGAATGCAGAGAAATAAATGTTTTAAAGCGTTCACATTACAGAAGAGGAAGTTTGAGAGGTCTTAGAGAATATAAATCTCCGGGACCTGATCTAATGTATCCCAGAACATTTTGGGAAGTAAGGTAGGAAATTATGAGACCCCTTGAAGAAATATTTTTATCATCTATAACTACGGGTGAGGTACCTGATGATTGGAGGGTGGCTAACGTTGTACCTTTGTCTAAGAAAGGTTATAAGGAGAAACTGGAGAACTATAGAACTGAGAGTCTGACTTCAGTTGTGGGTAAATTGTTGGAGGTGATTATAAAAGATAGGATTTATGGATATTTAGAGAGGCAAAAATTGATTAGGGATAGTCAGCATGGTTTTGTGTAAGGAAAATGGTGTCTCACAAACTTGACTGAGTTTTTTGAGGAAGGTACCAAAAAGATTGATGGCACAGCAGTGGACATTGTTTGGATTTTAGTAAAGTTCCACATAGTACTAAATAGCAAAGTAAGGTCACGTGGAATTCAGGGTGAGCTAGCCAATTGGATACATAATTAGCTTAATGGCAGGAGACAGAGAGTAATGGTGTGGGGTTGCTTTTCGCTCTGGAGGCCTGTGGCCAGTGGTGTTCCACAGGGATTAGTTATGGATCCTCTTTTCTTTGTCATTTATATAAATGATTTGGAGGAGTACATGGGTAGTAAGTTTGCAGATGACACCAAAATTAGTAGCATAGTAGACAGTGAAGAAGGTTTCCCAAGATTACAGAGGGATTTTGATCAAATGGATCAATGGGTCAATCTGGATAAATGAGAGGTATTGCATTTTGGTACAACAAACAAGGATAGGGCTTATACAATTAATGGTAGGGCCATGGGTAGAACAGAGGGACCTAGGGGTGCAGGTACATAATTCCTTAAAGTTTGTGTCACATATAGACAGGGTAGTTTGAAAGGCGATTGGCACACTTGCCTTCATTGCTCAGTGCTTTGAGTATAGGATTGGGAAGTCATGTTGAGGTTGTACAAGATGTTGGTGAGGCCTCTACTGGAATACTGTGTCCAGTTCTGGTCGTCCAGTTATAAAAAGGATATTAATATGCTGCAGAGTGTTCAGAAGAGATTTGCCAGGATGTTGCCGGGTGTGGAAGGTTTGAGTTATAAAGAAAGCCTTGGGACTTTCACTGGAGCATAGGAGATTGAGATGTGATCTGATAGAAGTTTATAGAATAATGAGAGGTACAGATAGTTAATGGTAGTTGTCTTTTCCCTAGGATGGGGGATTTCAAGACGAGGGGGCGCATTTTTAAGGTGAGAGGAGAGAGATTTAAAGAAGACATGAGAGGCAATTTTTTTTACACAGAGCGTGGTTTGTGGAATGAACTTCCCGAGGAAGTGGTGGATGCGGTACAATTACAATGTTTAAAAGACATTTGGATAAGTACATGAAGAGGAAAGGTTCGGAGGGATATGGGCCAGCAGCAGGCAGGTGCGACTAGTTTAGTTTGGGATTATGTTCAGCATGGACTGGTTGGACTACAGGATCTGTTTCCATGTTGTATGACTCTGAGAAAGTTTAAAAAAAAAAGTCTCTATAATTTAAAGAGATCAGTACCAGCTGGGGAAAGGATATTTAAGTGCTCAACTGTGTAAGAGTAAAGGATTGTTTTAAGAAATATCTGCAATTAAGCATAAGTCGTAAAATAAATTTGAAATGTGAAATAAAATTGTAATTGCACAAAAATACTGTAGATGAAGTCACCGTGCCTGACACTTAACATGTATTTGTAAGTAGAATTGAGAGATTTAAAGGAGTGAAGAGTGGTAGAGCGTTGTAATTTTGGAATTCTAGATTATTTCCTCTGCATCCAATACAAAGCTTTGGTATCCTGCTTGAAGAGGGGTGTCTCTATTTCAGTTGAGGGTAACTAATGAACCATTAAGGTTAATATAAATCCCTTGCTTTTGTGCTCTTTGACTCTACTTGTCAAGCCAACAATCAAGCATTTATTTTTATATAGAAACAGCCTGATGAATTCGCCTGCCATGTCAAAAATCTGTTTTGTGAGCCCTGACTTCATCCCCAAATGTCAAAATCTGTTCCAACATGCCCATTAAATTACTATTTAAATGTACTATTTAATCCATATTACTGCTTCTCATTCTTCCTTCCAAATTTCATCACTTCACATGGTTGACATTACGTTTAATATGGTATGTGTCCACCTATTTGACCCAAGTTTATCTTTAACAAAAGCCTTCTGAAAGCCCATATCAACAACATATTCCCATTTCAAGGCAATAATACATTTTTTGAGAAGTATTACATCCTTGAATCACATTGACTGAGGAGCACATCAATATAGTGTGTTTGAAATGGGGCTGGAAAAATTGAGTTTATTTCATTTTTACCAATTTTATTTAAGAGCTAACCAGTAGCAAGGTGGGATCCTGCATCTGGCCATCTAACTGAACCTTAAGTTAAATTGCTGAAACTAGAATAAACCTGTTTTTATTTTCCGTCCTCATAGCATATACATTGGTACATTTAATTGAAGAACATTTTGGTCAGAGTGGGGCTCAAGAAGGTGTGTGATCTGGTAAAGTGTGACACTGCCTTTTAATAAATTTCAGTGTATATATTGTTCCATCCATTGCTCAAAGTATCCATAATCTTTTTTTTTTCTTACCTAAGCTTCTTTCCCCACCACCACTCATCATCTCCAAAAAGCTGAACTTTCTCACTGGAATTACATTTTGCATTGCCTTGCAAGCAAGGTCACTGCAGTCAACACTGAAGCACCAAAAAAATTCATATACTGTAAATCTGAAATAAAATGGAAAAAGTAGAAACACTCTATCAGGTAGCAACAGTGCCCAGAAAAATACTTACGATTTATGACGTTTGAAATAAAAGCAGAATGTTGGGGCAATGAACAGCATATCACTCAGAATCTGAAAGCGTAATGCTGGTTAAAGTTTTAGATTAGATGCATCCTTAGTGTTGATGAAGGATTATATGAAAGTGCTACACTAATTTTTCTTCCAGTATTTACCTGTGAACTCAGTGCAATTTCTAGCTTTGTTTTAGATTTCCAATACTTATGACTTTCCATTGAGTTGCTGTTGCTGATCTTTGCTTTTGCTCAGATTTAAAAAAAAACATCAATTTTGCTGGGAATGTTGGAGATCTGAAACATCAAAATGTAGTTCTTATACGTTGTTTTCTTGACTGCTGTTCAATACTAATTCAAGGCCAAATACATTAAGCTGTAAAGTTTCTTTCTAGACTAATAAACAGTTACTAAGTTTTGACTTTCTGGTTTACGGAATTGTCTTGGTCGTGAGATGAGATCATTACCTTGGTTCTCACTCCCTGGTGACCTGTCAACTTCCCACATTGACAGCCTTTAAATTTATAAACTCTAAATAGAAATTGATTCAAGCTTGTAAAACTGAAAGGCATTTCCCTTATTGGTGGACAATATCTGCAGATTTTATCATGCAGTCAGTTGCGAAGGTCATTATGCATGTTTTACAAACCAATGGCAATGTGACACTTAAGTGCTCATCTGTGAAATGATTTATTCATAAGAATTCAAACAATGTTTGTTACTTGATTTATTTTATGCTGAGCTATTGAATTCTGTACCTTTTTTTCTTTTCCTCGCACACTTCGAATTCGTAGTTCTGAGCACTGTTAAAGCACACCTTTGGGTTGTAAATTCTCTGGAGGAATGTTGCCCCAACCTTGTAATGAATCTCAAGCCAAGGCAACGCATTTGCAAAAATTAAAACAACTGTTGAACTGATGAAACTTTTTTCAATGAATTCAAATCTATAAAGAAATTTGCAGACAAACAACCAAATGGTTACAGGATCTAATGCACCTTGTGCTGATGGGACCCGTGGGTTGTAGTTTGACTAATTTCTGAGAGATTACCTGGTCTGTCTAACCAAAAATTTCAATTTGAGCAAAACAATTTTTCTAATTGTACGTGACAATTCTTAATCTGGCAGCTATGAGATTAATGGAGAAAACCGGGCTGACAAGGAGATTATGTATTGTCCATAGTTTCAGATTCTAAACATTTGTGTGGATTTCTGGGAAGCCTGGTCATTATGCTTTGCACAGTCGACACAACTCCGTATCGTTATTTAATGTAAAACATAGACATTGGCATTTGGGTGTACATATTCTATCATGAATCATTAACAGTGGTTGGGATTGTTAGCCTGTGCTAAAGCTTAAACTGTCATTGGATACCAGACAAGCAAGTGTGTTCTGTTTTTTCAATTCTTAGCTTTCCTAGTCTTATTCATAGATATTCATTGAATCCCTACAGTGTGGAAACTGGTTCTTTGGCCCAACAAGTCCATGCCGACCCTCAGACCATCCCCCTATAATCCACCTAATCTACACATCTCTGGATACTATGGGCAATTTAGCATGGCCAATCCACCTAGCCTGCGCATCTTTGGACTGTGGGAGGAAACTGGAGCACCCAGACCCAAACCACGCAGACACTGGGAGAATGTGCAAACTCCACAGAGACAGTCGCCCAAGAGTGGAATTGAACCTGGGTTCTTGGTGCTGTGAGGCAGCAGTGCTAACCACTGAGCTGCTCATCAAAATTGATTCAGAGCCATTATTAGGTTTTAAATTCTCGATGTTTATTAAATTCAAATTCCATCATCTGCCATGGGCAGATTCAAACCAAGGTGCCCAGAACATTAGCTGGGTCGCTGGATTAACAGGTCAACGATAATACCACTAGGCTATCCCCTCTGGTTTCGCTAAATGTATCCTCCTATTTGAGCAACAGGTGAAGCTACCTGTTTCACGCTGCTGCTACGTAGTAGTAGCATGAGTGGTGTTCACCACTAACAGGATATTGCTGTCAAGGTGATAAGACTCTCAAATGAGTCATGTGATATCTGAAGCTCATGGCCTTCTTCTGTCTGCATAAGGCAAAGTACTGACTGTATCCAACCCAGCTTATGTTTGCAAAACTGAAAACAAATTCTTGGTGTGATCCCAAAATTAATCAACGTTTGTTAAATAATCCTGAGTGTGCAAATAATTACTCAGACATCTAATTTAAGATCATCAGTCAGGCTTACAGAGTAGTGCATGTGCACATACTGGAAGTGACATATCAATGTACAAGGCCCTATTTGCAGACAGAAAGAACATATACGAGTATTGAGCCTATTTCAACTTAACAAAATAGGTGGTATCCATTTTCTGGTTTGTTTCTTGGGGCAATGCCTGGACCGATCAGTGTCAATCTGCCTGGTTTTGGTTTAAACAAAGCGTGGTTTCACTTGTCAGTCATCATTGGACTGCTGCATTTGCCATGACAATGCTTCTTGCCGACCAACAGTATAAAATAGTATAGTATAAAATGTTGTTCCCCTTTATATTGGTATTTTGCAAATGCGTTGATTTGTGCAAGTTGAAAAGCTTTGGCAAAATTTTTGTTAGCAAAAGATGTTTGTTAATTTTTTTTTCTTCATGGGTATTAGCATTTTTCTTAACATATTATGTGAACTGTAAAAAAATATCCAGTGGGTTTTAATAAATAGTTGTTCTGATAACTGTTCACTATTGTACTTGATTTGAAAATAGGAACAAGAGATTTTGCCAAGTTACATGTGGGTCAATTGACCAAATACATATTGATGGTCTCTGATGTTTTTCTATTGATAGATTATAATAGAGAAGGATAGAATGATCAAGTTTTTGCAATAGAGTATGAAAATGTTGGTTATGTCTCTTGCTTCCTATGCTGAGTGCATTAGAGGGGAGGAAAATGGTTTCATTTCTTTTATTTTGGTGCAAATGTACATTGTAAGGCATCAGAACAACTAAATCTGTCAAACAAAATATTGGAAATATCCCTGCTCCCCAAAAAAAGTTGAGTCCAGATCTGCCATCTACCCATGTTTTCATTCCTAGTTTCTGCTTGGCTGGACACATTTTTGTGTTTAAATCAACCCTTGCTTTTGGAAAGATCTTTTTCAAAGTTTCAAAGGTCAACATACTTCGCAATCTGTGGTAATGGTGATCATTTCGCATTGGGTCTTTTTACACTGTCCAATTTTTGCTTTGTGTTGATTTTATTTCATGTTGGGACTGGTTCTTCTATATGTAGTACAAACAACTAACACATCTGATTTGGATCAAAGGAATGCTTAGAATAGGTTGACTTCATATTCATTGCAAAGGCCAATTTAAGTAATGCATAACATTGAAAACCTGACTTATTGTTAATGAATACTTGGCTAAAGCCCTGAAATTGCTTATCAAGCCAATTTCTATATATAAAGGTACAGGGGAAAAATGACTGGAGGATAGGAAGCCTCAGGATATGAATAATACACAAAGGATATTACGTTTTTAAGCTGTATTAAACACAAGATGAAGTAGAAATGCAAAGAAGATCAGCATCTGGAAGAGACAAATTTTTGTTTGCTGCTACACCTAGGGCCCTTCATCAAATAGCACAGTAAGCATTTTTATTTTGGAAGGGACAGGAAGAATTTGAGCTTAAAAATTCAAGTGTGCACCTACTTTATGGAGATGTTTTTCTGTTCTATGCTTTGATCATTTGTAAGAAAATATACATAAAATAAAGGATGGATTATTTAATATAATTGAGAATGAAAACTTCAGTGTGTGTCCATAGTGCATAAAATACAGTAGAAAATCAAATAGTATGGAGCAGGTGTAATGCTATCAGTGAGAACAAGAAGAAATGATGAGTGCTGTCAGGGACAAAAGACATGTACGATGAACTGAATAAATCAATTCTCTCTCTCTCTCTTTCACTTCCTATGTTGACTGTTTAGGATTTCAAAGTCTCTGGAGATGAAGGCTGGTGGACAGGCAAAATCAATGACCAGGTTGGCATCTTTCCCAGCAACTATGTCACCAGTGCCCCATGTTACAGTAAGTTGCAAGGCCGGAGCACGGAGCACTACCCTCTGCCACTGGAAATGGACTTTAATGAGCTGCAGCTGGAGGAGATTATTGGTGTCGGTGGCTTTGGAAAAGTCTACAGGGGCATCTGGAGGTCAGAGGAGGTAGCTGTTAAAGCAGCTCGCCAGGACCCAGATGAGGATATTAGTCAGACCATTGAGAATGTTAAACAAGAAGCAAAACTGTTTGCGATGCTGAAGCACCCTAACATCATAGCCTTAAAAGGGATTTGTCTGAAAGAGCCCAATCTTTGCTTGATCATGGAGTTTGCCCGTGGGGGCTCTTTAAATAGAGTGTTGTCAGGCAAGAAGATACCTCCTCATATTCTTGTCAACTGGGCAGTACAGATTGCAAGGGGCATGAATTATTTACACGAAGAAGCAATTGTTCCTATTATTCATCGCGATCTCAAGTCTAGTAACAGTAAGTATTTCAACGATGTCTGCTGCAAATTGCTTGCCACCTGGCAAGTACGTGCTTGTTGTTTTGGTGGGACGAATTCAAATAGCTTCAGGGGATAAATTATTTTGCTGCATACATTGTGCTTGATAAAGTGTATTGTGAAATTGAGTGTTACAAATTTCGGTTCACTTCACTTATCCAGTCATGATTTAAAATGAGTTCCCTTGAGTGTGGGTTTAATGTTTAAAATACAGAAGGAAGTGAGGGTAGGGTTACCATGAGTATCATGCAGTCCCATTATGAAAGATCTATCCCAGTGATAATAGTTGCAGATTTCTTCCACTGCTGCATTGTACCACGGTCCAGTGAAGATAAAGCTACATTATGAGATCACATAGCTTCCTGTTGACATTCAACAAGTGGAAGGAACCAGATCCTGCTTGATTGTGGGATTAAAAAAGAATTTAGTGCTGTTTTTAGCCCAATATTTTCTAGATGAGCCCAGTTTGGGTTTGGGGGTTGGTTCGCTCAGTTGGGTTGTGGTTGGTTTGCAAAGCAGAGTGACGCCAAAAGCACAGTTTCAATTCCTATGAAAGCCTTACTTTCTTGATTTCACTCTTTTCCTGAGGCATAGTGACCCTCAGATTAAACTCATCACCAGTTGTCTCTCTGTCATGAGGGAGCAGCGCTATGGCAACTTGACCTAGTTTAGATCAGGCCTTCCCCTGCAACGTCTGCCCACATTTGGAGAAATGTACAGTCAATCCTCAGAACTGATTCTGTCTGAATTTCATTTAACTTGGTCCAATTCCAGGTCCCTTGATATCTTAGCCTAACCAAAATCTGTTGATCCCAGGTTTGGAAATTTCTGTGCTTTCCCCCAGCACCTTTTGAGGAAACAGTTCCACATAGCCAGCACCCTTCATGTGGATGAAATGTTTCCTGATTTCACGCTTAAATGGTCTGCCTTCAATTTTAACATTTTTCACCTTTATTCTGGATTCCTGTATCAGAGGATTGAGTGATAAATGGAAACGATCAAATTCCTTGCTCATTTTAAAAAAAAAAATCAATTAGATGATCAGGCAATTTTGTGAACTCAAGGGGCTGCAAACTAAGGTTACGCAAACCTGCTCTTATGATTTTTTTTTTAAACCTTGGGACCGTTCTCGTCAATCTGTGGTTGTAGTCCTTTTATGATCATTATTTTCTGAGATCTGATGCTTAAACTGAATAGAATGCTCAAAAGGCTTTATACATGCAAAGCATCACTTCCCTGCTTCTGAATTACAAATCCGTAGAGATAAATGTCAATATTCCATTAGTCTTTTTGATTGCTTTTTATACCTGTGTCCTAGCTTTGTGATTTGTATGTGTGCGCACTCGGATCCCTTCCTTCTCCCCAGATCCTTCTCTCTCACCGCTGGGAAAACGTTGTCTTGTGTTGACTTAAAAGGGATAACTTCTTTATTCTCCACATTGAACTCCATTTTCTTCACTACATATTGCACTTGATCGCAAATAAATTGATAGTACAGATATTTACCACTGCTGCACTTGATTTATGTGAGGTAGCCTGAACAAACATATGTAAGGGTTCAATTTATTCATTCTTAAAACTTTTCTATTTGGCCTAGGTCAGCTGGAGAGGGAATGAAGAAATTTACACCTTAGTAACTTATGATCGCTATCCCTTTTTTTTTGCCCTTGTTATCAGCTTGCACTTTTAAGAATTTCATGGGGGAAAAAAAAATTGCACTATAGGATGCAGGGAAAGCCCAACTAATAACCTTAACCCAGAGAAATTCAGTCCCTAGTTTCAAACCCAATCTAGACAGGTTGTGTATTGTCTCTGTTGTTCATTAGCATTATCTTGTGAAATTGATTTGTAAAGGGAGTATTCTTCGCAGATTTGAACTGAAACATGTAGTTGTGGACAGGGGCAAGTGAGTTTTATGCTGCATCTGGTTTTATCACACCTTTCATGGGAATGCTTGAATGGCAGAAAATATTCCCTTCTCCTCAACACTAACATACATGGCCTGAATACACACAAAGGTACAGTAAACATAAAACAGATTTAATTTTATGGATAACTGCAAGTTTTATTTATATCCGCAAAAGCCGGTGACTTCACAATTAATGACGACCCACAGTGCTTCTTGTTATCTAAACATGAGAGTTGCCAGCAGCCTTGCGTATAAAGAATTTTGCCTGAATCTTTTTTATGATCATGTGTGGCTGAGCTCAGTTTAGTTGTTGACCAACGTACATGCTGAGGATCACTGGACAAGGATCGGTGAGTTAACTTTCTTCCCCTAGTTATGAAACCACAAGGTGTAGAGCTGGATAAACACAGCAGGCCAAGCAGCATCAGAGGAGCAGGAAACCTGATGTTTCGGGTCTAGACCCTTCTTCAGAAATGAATACAGCAGGCCAAGCAGAAATTTCTGAAGAAGGGTCTAGACCCGAAACGTCAGCTTCCCTGCTCCTCTGCAGCTTGGCCTGCTGTGTTCATCCAGCTTTACACCTTGTTGTCTCAGATTCTCCAGCATCGGCAGTTCCTACTATCTCCCCTCGTTATGAGTTTGTTTTTCTCTGGGAGATCAGGGTTCACTTGTATCTTCTTCCTGCCATCTTGCCTGGGATTGGTAACTCAGCACAAATCAAGTTTTGAGTCTGGGATCTTCTGGATTTTATGGTTCAGTTTCAAGTTTGGTAAATATAACGGTCAGTGTTTTTCTTTTTTCTCATCAACCTGTTCAAAGATATTTTTACACACCTCTGGAGCAGGTGAGATTTGAACCCAGGTCTCAAGTGTGCTGATTGTATAGCACCTTGCCATGAAATACTTCAAGATGTTGTTTTTTTTTTCAGCTTCACCCTTCCCAACATCCCCCACCCTCCGCCCCCAAGGTGGTTCATACAAGGTGAAGATCAAATACTTACGTGATTTGCTTTATTGATGACAGCTTTGTGGCAGCCATTATCGATGATTCCTTTTTTCATTCTGCAGTATGTTTTCTTAGGCCAGTAAATTGATTTTAACCCTCTCAAGTCATAAGAAGCCTTTACAGCATTTTTCCCAATTAGACCATGCAGGGAAAGGAGCTAATGATACTTAACTGAATTTGATTCTGGTGCGCAACTGGAAATATATTAGATGTTTAGATTTTTATTTAAATTAATTTTGTTTTAATTTAATATGTCTGATCATGTAGTGTGTGTTTAAGACTCCCATTTCAACATTTTCTCCAAGTGCACCCGTAGTCTTGATACTGATTTTAACAGGAAAGTAACTATTCGGTTAAATTTGTAGCTCAACACGCATGCATTAACTAGAAACCACAGATTAAAAAGTTGACCGTGGTACCACCCAGGTGATCCAAATTGATAGAACCTTGCATAACTAAATGGAATAGGAGGCTGACATATGTTGTTCACCACTTGCAGTCTTAGAGAAGCTACACCACGTCAACAGTACACAGTTCTGTTGACCACCACAGAAAGGACCCAGATAAGCTGGGTGAAAATAAAGTGGGCAACAAGATTAATCAGTAGTGCCAGAGAGAGAAGGGAGTACATTTTCAAGTTAGAGATTTTCACCTTCCAAAATCAGCATCCTAAGGGCACATTAAACAACGCAGAAGATGCATATGCACTCAAGCCGAAAGTGCCTGACTGGCCAGATAAGATGTAGAAACACTTTCTACAAAAAAATCTTTCTACAGTGCAAAGACACCTAATACTCAATTAAATGGAGTTGAGTAAAATTAAGGTTGTCTTTAGGTCAGCCAACGGGACACTGGAAAAGAGAATTAGAGACAGTAATGAAAGTGTTGGGAAGACCTTTTCTTGTTTTGTGAAGAGGTAGAAGACTCTGAAAGACATTGGGGCATTGAAGATGTTCAAGATACAACACAAGGGATTTAGTAAATGAGGTGGAAATATTAAAAGTTTGAAAGAAAAATATTGCAGATACTATAAATCTGAAATATAAACGGAAAAAAACTTTAAGCTATAAGGTTAACTATTTTCTCTCCACAGCTGCTATCTCACCTGTTGAGTACTTTCAGCACGTTCTCAATCCTGTAATAAATAAGTGTTTTATATTGTATAATGTGATGGTGCTGAAGGAAATATTTTACGTGTTCATTGAGCTCCACCTATTTTGTTGATGTCACTCAGTCAGTGAATTTAACGCTTGACTTTGGAGGGAGCAGATGTATTCTATACAGCTCTCAAGAGACCTAGTAATTACACCTGATGAGTAATGTAGCTGTATTTATTGCTATCATGCAATCAAGAACTTTGGTCTCTTCTATGGTGGTATATATTCTACAACTGATTATTCATTGGAGCCTAGATAAGGTGCAAACAAGGGAGGATTGATGGCAGTCAACCACCTTAAGCAACCCTTTCTCTCTACCACATACTAGTAGAGGTGGCAGATATAATGAAGTGCCAGTAAAGGAATTCGGGGTAATATTACAATTTGCATCAGCCTTCACCTTGAGGATAATGCATGACTGTTTGAATTTAATGAATGTTAACAATCGTAATATTATCACAGGTAGAAATGTTGCTTTAGAAAGAACTAAGAACCTGACTATAGAGCAGCCAGTCTAGATGGTATCCACCTGAATGTCCTTGGAGGTGGACCATGTGCTGTGTGAACTCTGGGACAATGCCTTTGACTAGACTGATAGAGTTCCCATCTTCAGTAAAAGAGGCAAGGTTGACTTGGAGAGCAACGTAGGAATGGTTGTTGAGGAAATCATTCGGAGAAGAAAATATAATTATTTAGATGATTCACAAATGAAAAGTGTAATCGGCTTCAAAAAAGGTCATGCCTTACAAATTTAGTAATTCCTTTTACGGAAGTCAACAGGATGACAGCTGAGGAAATCCAAGTGAGCATTGTCAGTGTAGATCCCCAAAGCTTTTGGGAAGGACATAGTCAGGAAATTGGATCTGGAGTTTTCTGGAAATTGGTCAGCTGTGATGTTCCATGGGGATCT